TCCATCCATACGCACCAGCACGTAGTGATCGACGACAATGACGGGTATGGCACCCGCAGCCATGATCTATGAGGCATGAAAGGGGGTGGCGGGAGGTGGAAGGTGGGTAAGAGCACAAACAGGACCGAAATCGTCTGTAACACACACACACACACACACACACACACACACACACACACACACACACACACACACACACACACACACACGCACACACACACACACGCACACACACACACACACGCACACACACACCTGAAGGAGTGGTAGCCAAATCCTTCCACGATGAGCCCAAACTTGGTCTCCAGCGCCAGCTCCGTGTTTGAACTCTTCCTCTGCCTACTTGCACGAGGGGTCATATCCAACCTTCGCCCTCACGGCCCATGCGCACCTCGCCAAACCACCTGCACGCGCACACCAACACAATGTCCCTGCGCATATACAAGCAATCATACAAAGAGACAATGTGTGTATGTGTGTGAGGTGGATCCAGACAGACACGCACGCAGCATCAATACCATTTCACGCCGAGGCAACGCACGACGCACACACACGGAACGAAGTAACACACAACACTCGCACGCGAAGCACACCTCACCTGTCGTTGTGCAGCTTGGGGAGGTGGTTGCGCATGGCATGAGAGCGAGCAGACTTGGTAGTACCCCTGTACAACAGGGAAAGAAGACACATGTCAAGCAGCGGCACCATGACAGGTTTGGAGTGAGATTGCAGCGGCATAAGAAGGGCGAGTGGTGGTGCAGTGAGCGACACCAACCCCTCAAAACCAGCAGCAGCAGTGAACATCGAACCTCACATCGCACCACGTCACAACACGGGCAACACATGCGTGCACACACCTGAAGGTGACGAGGTATTTCCTGTTTGTGCGGGTGGAACGCGTCGCTGCTCCGGTGTGAATGAATGAATGTCACCATGGAGAAGCGTGGCATGGACACATCGAGGCTGTCACAGTGGTGGAATTCACTGAGGTGGTGTGATGAGATGGAACAGACAGGATTGGTGAAGCGTGTAAGCATCAGCAGTCGCACATGGTGCGTGGCAACCCCCATATGCATTTCTCTTCCAACACACACACACCTACCTGAGTCAGCATCGTGGATCGACGAGGAGGAGGTGATGGACGAGCCAGGGCATGTGACACAGCAAGCCGTTGCCAGCCAACACAAATACCATACCACTTCTGGAACGAACAGGATGGTTGCGTCCACCGCACTTGCGGCTGCATCGACGATGAGGATGGATGGCGAGGTTGCATGGAATGCCGTGGCAGGAAAAGGCCAGTGTCCGCAGCCACGCCGCTGATCCATTTGCATCCGCTGTGTAGCAGTTCACCAAGCGTCGTGGTGTTCGCTGTGCTCGTGCTGCGATCAGTGGTCACACCCATAGAGGAGATATGTTGTGAGCTAGCAATCCGCCTGCAGTGCCCACTTGGCTCAATCGGCTCGCAGACTGTTGATGGTGGTCATGTCAACCACTGCTGCTGTCGCAGCTATTGTCACTGCTGCTGTTGTTGTTGATGGGCTGATGATGAGCACAGAGGTGGTGGGAGTTGCGTCAAAGGGAGGGATGCCGTGGATGAGGCCGTTGCTGGCGACGACGCCACCAAACCCCCAATCACAGTTGCCAGTGCCCTTGCCGAGTACATCTTGGATGCTGTTGCCAGACAGTGGGCTGACTGACAGTGTTTGTGGCTTGTGTTACACATGTATGCAACGGGCCAAGAAGGAGACTTGTTTGTGATTGTTCACTGCTTGCTGGCTGGCTTGCCGTGCACTTGTCGTGCTTTTGTCCCGGTCGCAAGCAGCACAGCAGTTGATACCCCCCTTCCCTTTCGTTCCTCCACGCAGAGCACTGCTCCATCAAGCCGTTCTGCGTGTCTGTGCGTGCATGTGCGTGCTTGTACGTGCTTGTGCGTGCTTGTGCGTCTGCCTTCCATCACACAACAGTGAACCCCTTTTCAACAACAAAGAAGAAAGTGCTGACTCGGCACAATTCTGTTTGTGTTTGTGTTTTGTGGGCAAGAAGACAAGAAGGAAGATGCGTGCAACGGCAGTGACAGCGCTGCTGTGGTTGGTGGCAGTGTGCTGTGTGTGTGCTGTTCAGCCGCTGTGGCGAGCGTCGTCTCAAGCTCACGTCGAATGCACCAACCTCCAAGATCAAGGTGTGTGTGTGTGTGTATCGACTTGCGTGCGCATCCCCTCCTCCCATCGCTCCTCTCACGTACCAACACCTCTCCCACCCCACACACGCACACTCGCACACACCGCGCTGACAATCAGACGTTTGCGTTTGTTGGCAACATGGCGCAGACGTCCATGACGCGTGAGGCGTGTGCCACGCTCTGCTACACCTTCAACTTTGTCGCTCAGCGCTGTTGAGTACGGCTACCAATGCTGCTTCTGCAAACACCCAAGCTGATTTCCACCGCGTAGTCTCGGCGGTGCGTGCGTGCGTGTGTGTGTGTGTGTGTGTGTCTGTGTGTCTGTGTGTCTGTGTGTCTGTGTGTCTGTGTGTGTGTATGTGTGTGTCTGTGTGTGTGTCTGTGTGTGTGTCTGTGTGTGTGTCTGTGTGGTGCACACATTAGTGTCAGCATTCACCCTTCCCCCTCCCCCACCCAACACACACTTTTGTCCAGCCTTCCTCCGACTGCAACGAGCCATGCACGGGGGCTTCGACTGAGATGTGCGGAGCAGCCAATCGCATGAACATCAATCCGGGCAAACTGTTCCGGCAAACCCGTTCCCACAGGTGATTCCAACACACACACAGACACACACACACACATAACCACCCACTCAGCTCATACGTGTCTGCTGTTGCATCTTGCCTCATCAGGCCATGCGTGCCTGTCTGCAGCGACGAAGGAGTTGCCGGTCTGCAACACGAGTCTGTCCATCGGTGCCCGCCTTGACGACCTCATTGGACGCCTCAGTCTTGAGGAGAAGGCCGGCCTCATTGGCCCTGATCCCGTCACCAGCCCATGCGCCTTCCTCGACTACGGCGTCAAAAGGTGGGAAAGGACATTCAGCGCCGACGCACTGACTCGTGACTTTGTCTGCTTGTGTTTCCCCATCCTCCCCGCTTCTTCGTGCCACAGCGGCATCAACCGCCACCACCACGTCTCACACAAAAACACCACCTCCCTCTTCATGCTCACATATGTGTGCATGGATTGCAGGCTCGACATCCCGCCGTATCTGCATCTGGTGGAGACGAACACGGCCGTAGCCTCTGCGTGCATCATCAGCCAGGACACGTGTGCCACCCACCTTCATTGGCCCCACAGGTCTTGGCGCAGCCGTCAACCGAGGGTGTGTGTGTGTGTGTGTGTGTGTGTGTGCGAGTGTGTGTGTGTGTCTGTGTCTGTGTGTCTGTGTGTGTGCCTACGTCTGCTATGTCAGCTTCTTCTTGATCAAAGCTCCTGTCGTTCATTCCCTCCCTCCTCGTCCCCCACGCACCCGTTCTTCGCTTCCAGGTCATATCCACGGAGATGCGCGCCTTCAACAATCTCAACTGGCACAGGGGCAGCGGCGTCTTACAGAAGATCACTCACAGGTGCGGCCTGCATCGCGTGTTGCTGATGTTGGTGCACACACCACACCCATGCGATCACTCAACAACAGTCGCACGCCTTGCCCCCCAACGCCCTTCACACCCACACACTCACACACTCGCTCACTTTGCAGGCCCACCCACTCATCTTCACTGCACCCCTCTCAACCTGCGGTATCCCTGCTTGAGTGGCGAGTACGCTGCTGCTGACGTGACCGACTGCCAGGACGGCCCAGACAAGAAGTACAAGAAAATGGCAGCAGGTACGCACACGCATCCACACTCGCACGTGTGTGTACGCAATTGCCCACAACCGTGTCAGCGACGCTGTTTCATTTGCACATGGTGGCGGTCGTGTCATTCACACTGCTGTCACCGCTCCATCGCGTTTTAGGTCTTAGACACTTTGACGCGCACTCGGTCGAGACAAACCGCATGGCATTCAATGGGAACATCTCCACCTTTGTTCTCTGGGACACCGAGGTATGTGTGTGTGTGTGTGTGTGTGTGTGTGTGTGTATGTGTGTGTGTGTGTGTGTGTGTGTGTGCATCCAATCAACATTTCTTGTCAGTTCATCCACGCCACCATGCCTGTGCCATCCCCTCACCTCCCACCTCCTCATCTTCATCCCGCTCCCCGCTGCCATGTGTTTCATGTGCAGTGCAAGCGCGGGCACTCACTGCCATGTGCTCGTTCGCCCGCATCAACGGCGTGCCCTCGTGTGCGAACAACATGCTGCTCAACGGCGTCGTGCGCGGGCAGTGGAAGCGTGACACGGTGACGATTGGATCAGACTGCGGTGCGATTTCCAAACATGGTCAACGCCAACAAGTACGCCCGCGACCCCGTAAACGCCGTCGCGAAGACGCTGAACCGCGCCGGGGATATGGAGCTCGGGGAGACATACTTCACCACAAACGGCTACTTGGAGCAGGATGTGAAGCAAGACCGCACAACAATCGACACGGTGCACAACACCGTGCGGTGGGTCCTCAAAGATAGCTTCATCATGGGCAAATGGTACGTTGACTTGGGTTTGCTTTGTGTTTGCTTTGTGTGTGTGTGTGTGTGTGTGTGTGTGTGCGTGTGTGTGTGTGCGTGTGTGTGTGTGTGTGCGTGCGTGTGTGTGTGTGTGTGTGTGTGCGTGTGTGTGTGTGTGTGTGTGTGTGTGTGTGTGTGTCTGTGTGCGTGTGTGTGTGTCTGTGTGTGTGCAATCCCTCAAAGTCTCTTGTCAGTGTTGTGTCCCTGAGAAGATGAAGCAGTCCACGGTTCCTCAATAGTCACAACGATGTTGTCATTGCCTCTCATGCCATCCTCTCCTCCACTCTCACACCCTTCCCTCCAGGCATCGAGGAGTGCCCCACCTTTACACTCTCACCTCCAGCAACGGCCGCTGCATCAGCAAGTGCCCCAATGGCGAGTATGAGCTCGGCAACGGATGTGCTGAATGCCATTCAACACGTGTGCCAAGTGCCACCCCACCAATCGCCACCAACTACCTCCGCTGCGACGGCAACCTCCCCAGCCGTGCATTGCCCATTGCCCCCCCCCCCCGTCTACTACGCCAAGGACCACCGATGTGTGCCATGCACCACGTGCGGCATGGGCACCTGGACCTCCACCCCATGCTCCGCGTCCTCCCACGCCGTTTGCTCTTCCTGGACCGAGTGCAAGCCGGCCCAGAAGGAGTCTGTCTCTGGCAACGTCGTGCGCGACCGCGCGTGCGTGAGCTGCACCCTTTGGCATGGAGTACCAGCCGCTGCCGGACCGCGCCTCGTGCTTCTCCACCAGCATGTGCGAGGAGCCCTTCATCGAGACCATCCCGCCCACGCTCACCACAGACCGCCTGTGCTCCTGCGACACGCTCACCTGCAACAAGCTCATCACGCAGCTATTTGAGGAGATGGTGTGCGCCGAGCCCATGGACGAGCAGCTCGACGTTGTGCTTGACGTGTGCTGCTCCGGCCAGGGCGAGGATGGCATCCGCGACACCATTCGCCAGATGGACGCCTACGAGGCACGCCACTCCTGCCCAGGCTGCACAGACACGTGCGAGTGCAGCGCTGGCTTCATCCTTGTCTACGACGCCGACTCGGCCGACTGTCGGCCATGCAATGGCGTGACGGTGTTCTCCCCATCCATTGGCGGCATCAAGTGCGAGCCCATTTAGAAGTGCGAGCGCGGCTAGGAAGAGGTCTCCGCGCCAACCCGCTCCTCGGACCGCGTGTGCCGCGACAGCCCGGCTGGCACCATTGACTCGGAAAGCGACGGCCCCACGAGTTGCCAGATGCGCCCCGCTGGCCACTACACGGAGGCGGGCTCCCACGGCTCCTGCTCCAGCTTCACCTGCCGCGCAGGCACCCACGACCACGACAGCGACCCTGCCACCCACCTGCATGGACGTCACAGAGTGCGCGCCCGGGTTTGAGGAGGTGCAGACCATGACGCTCATCATCGGCGACCGCGTCTGCGACGAGAAGTTAGAGGGCACGCACAAGGCTGTCTCTGGCCAGGGCGTGCCCTGTCTCCCCATCATCACCACGTACGATGCCGGCGAGGAGGAGACGGCCGAGCCCACCCCAACGAGCGACCGCGTGTGCAGCCTGTGCGAGCTTGATGCCACCTTCAAGTCCGTTGACGGCCAGGCCGAGTCATGCCGCCCCGTCACGCAGTGCGGCCCGGATGAGGAAGAGATTCGCTATGCAAACCCACACGCCAGCACGACCGCCTCTGCCGCAAGTGCGTCCAGGACACGTGCGTGCCCGTGACGCGTTGCGCTGCCTCAGAGTACATTTCCACGCATGGCCGTGAGCAAGTGCGAGTTTGGCACCTTCCAGAGCCAGGTGCCCACGCTCGACTCCGACCGCGAGTGCACGCTGGAGTGCTCCGGGTGCTCTAGTGACCGCTACGAGATTCGCGCCTGCTCTGCGCTGGAGGACGTGCAGTGCGCCGGCTGCTCAGCGTGCCCGCCGAACACATACATCCTGCGCGCCTGCGACTCGGGAGAACGACGTCTCTTGCCAGCAGTGTAGTGCGTGCTCTAGTGAGCAGTACCGCAGCGCGCCATGCACCGCCACCAGCGACACGGAAGTGCACGATACTCGACGTGTGCGACCAGGACCAGTTTGGGCTGTTCCCCGCCCCCACGCCAACCACGGACCGCATCTGCCGCGACCTGAGCCAGTGCAACCCGTCGACGGAGTGCGAGCGCACCACCTGTGCCACCTCATCTTCAAGTGCGACCCTGGCGAGCAGCGCGCATTCGAGCACCCACCTCAACCTCCGACACCAAGTGCGAGCCGTGCCCCATCGGCACCACCGACCACGACCGCAACCCGCTCACCGCCTGCCAGCCGTGCCCCCTACGGCCACTGTGTGCCTGCAGGCCCCATCGGCTTCTGCGAGCAGTTCCTGTGCCCGGCCGGCACCGCCGACTTGGATCGCAACGCCAGCACACACTGTGCACGCCGTGCCAGGCTGGCGTGGACTTTGCCGCCCTCTCTGGTCAGCGTGATTGCACGCTTGTGACGGAGTGCAACCTCGGCTTCGAGGAGGTGGTGCGCCCTGCTATGCGCCCCACCATCTTCACCGACCGCCAGTGCCGCCGCTGCATCGAGGGCCTGTTCTACCGCAACAGCAACACGGGCTTCTGCATGCGCGTGTGTCGCCCTGCGAGCCTGGCTCGTTTGAGACGGCCGCGCCCACCATCAGCACGGACCGCGAGTGCCAGATGGGCCCGCATATGCCCCAACAACAACACGTTCATCTCCCGCCCGCTCATGCCCACGCAGAACCGCATCTGCTCGCCGTGGACGCAGTGCCTGTCCAGCGAGTACGAGCTCGTTGCGCCGTCGCTGGTCAACGACCGCGAGTGCCAGCGCGTGCGCTCGTGCCAGGACACGGAGTATGAGGTGTCAGCGCCCACGGCCACGACGGACCACCTCTGCGCCACCATCAGCGACGCAGTTTGAGGTGCTCCCACCGTGCGTGTGCGTGCCCGCGTGCTCCGTCTCGCTCATCTTTGACGCCAAGTTCAACGCCCTTGCCGGCACGCAGTCGGGCCGCGAGGCGTTTGAGGCCGCGCTGGTGCAGCCCATCAACACGATGCAGGACGCGTCGCAGATTCATTCTGCGCATCGACCTGCGCCAGGGCACCATTATTGCCACCGTCGCTTCCATCAACGAGGACTTGATGGCTCGCCTCTTCAACCGATCCGTCTCTGGCGACATTACCGTCATGGCCTTCACCGCATCGCCGTGCGAGGCCGACGCGTTCCTGGACGACTCGTCCCTTTGGTTGCACGGGTGCACACGCGATCCCACCCATCACACACACCAACTACTGGAGCCTCTCACGCACGCACGCTTGCACTTTCACGTGGACGCCGCATCACCCACCAGGACAACCACAGCAGCCGCCACCATTGCACTTGCTGTGATCGAGTGTTGCCAGCACATGCCACCTTCACCTCCCGCATCATCATGCAAACACTGCTGCCACCACCACCACCCACGACAGCAACCATCTCAAGGCATCGGATGCTGTTGGTTCTTGGACCATCACGGCGCTGTTGGAAGAAACGCTAGCAGTGTTGATGGTTGTGGTGGGAGTGCACGCCATGGTAACAGCACCGACAGCTGATGTGGTGGTGGTGGTGGTGGTGGTGGTGGTGGTGGTGCTTGCATTCCTCACTGGTTCCAGCAACAGCAAGGAGGTGGCCATCGTGTTTCTGGTGGGCACGCATGTGCTGGCTGTTGTTGGTGCCATGGCTGGCAACAGCAGTTGCTGCGATGAGCGGCAACGGCAGTGAAGAAGAAGATGGATGTATGTGGGGTTGCACGGCACGCAGTCACCCTCCCTTTGTGGTTGGCTGTGCAATTGCATGTGCGCACATCGATGACGGCGATGACGAGACGGCTGCCAATCAAATCAATTCCCATCTGAAGAGCCACCGCGTCGTGGCTGGTGCACGCGTGCATCTCTTTCTTCCTGCAGGTCGACCATCGACAGAGCAGCGTTGCAGTGCGCCATGCGGTGTTTGATGATGCGTCGTTGTTGTTGTTGTTGCCACTGCGTTTGCTGTTTGTTGACACGCACGCCGTGCATACTCAATTTCTTTCCTTCCTCCTGGCTTGCTTCCTTGCTGTCTCTCTGCTCTCCCGCTGTCCCTTGTCAGTGTTGTGTGTTTGGTTGCTGGTTGCCGTGTTGCGGTGATTCCATCTTGCATGTTCAATCGTTTCCCAACAGTACATTGGGGACAGAGTCAAGACATGAAGAGACGACAACAGCCCTCACGCGGGGCACACAGTCAGCACCAACACGCACATCCAAGCAAGAGAGGAGAGCAGAGCACAGACACGGCACTGCTCAAGATAACAGCCACATCGCAGGGTGCCACTTGCAGTGCAGCCAAACAACCAAGTACAAGGCGGTCTGCACCAACAACAACAACAAGGCAGCAGTCATCCACCAGCCACCACTGTGTGTCAGGGTGCTGCAGGGCAAAGAAGACCCACGAAGCAGGTCAGTCCATTGCGCTATTGCTGTTGCTGCTGCACTTGAACGTCTTGTACCAGGCCTTCAAGCAAGTCCCTCCGGTGTCCGCTGCACTTGGTTGCCGTCCTTGTCAACTGGCAGGTGCTGTTGTCGTTTGCACCGTGTCTCGCGGATGGCCTGTGTGATGAAGCAGGCCGCGACCAGCACCACCGCGATTATGCCAGATGAATTAGGCAGCCCAGGACAAAAGAAGACAACGCTGCAGCCTCCATCATCTTTTTTGCCATGTCAACATGCTTGGCAGATGATGTCAGGTACGTACGGCAATGCAGTGACATCGTAGTCATCAAGCTTGTGCGCTTCTGCGGGAGGTGTTGCTGGTGGAACAACAATGGGCACAATGACGTAGGGGCGGCATCTGGGGTCTGTTGTTGGGCGGAGATGGCACAGGTCAAACTGCTCTGTGGGGGATTATGGTGCGGTTTAGGGTCAGGTCCAGCGCCCACAGGGCAACCCTGCCTTGCGAAACGCTGCTTGAAACAGTAAGCAGGCGCTGGTGATCGCACATGGCCATGTCATCTGCTCTGTCATTGCTATGCAGTATCGTGGTGTGCTGTAGTCGCACTTGATCACGCTCTCAACAGAGTTGACGAACAAGATGCTGCTGCGACGGGCAAAGACGCCGAACTTGACCGGAACGTTTCTGCTCACTTTGAGCTTGCTGAGGACCTTGTGGTTGGCGACGTCACACACAAACATATAACCTCGCGCAGTGCCGATCGCCAGCAGGCTGTCATCAGTTGGTGGGTGGCCATGGTGGTGACGATCATGTTGGTGTTCGGCTCTGCCTCGTCCACAAACAAGTCATCCAACACCGCCACACGCGTCAGCGCACTGCTCACACCACTACTGCTGCCGCTCACTTGCTGCTGTTGTTGCTGCTGCTGCTGGTCATGCTGCCGTTGTTGCTGGTGATGGTGGTGGTGGTGATCAATGGCACCGTATGCGAAGGCAAACTTGTTGCTGCTGTCCGCAAGCGCTGCAATGCGCGGGACACGAACGCCCGTGACCTCTTTGGGTTGTGCCAACGTCGCACGACCAACACAAACGGGCGCACATCCTCACCGCTGCCGCTGCTGCTTCTGCTGCTGTTGTTGGAGCCATTGTTGCTGTCCTTTCATGTTGTGTTGTGCTGATCGTGTGATGTGAGGGTGCTGAGATCCCACACGCGCAAGTTGGTGGAAGTGGACGCAGTCACCAGGAAGCGGCCATCAGGGATGACGCGCAACGCATCCACGGCAGTGCGCTAAGGCTCCTTACTCGCCGGTTCCGCCTCTACTTCCCCTCTCGCTTCTTCTCCGTCCGCGTCTTGTACCACCTCGTTGTGATTATCGACAGCATCGGCCCTCCACTCTGCAAGCAGGGTCGATGGCTGACCAAGCTGCCACAAAGAGATGACACCCGCCTTGTTGTCCACGATGTACAGGGTGGGCGTGAGTGTCATGCAATGCGTGTGCTCGAAGGTGGACGGCACGACCGCCAGGCACTTGAGGTCTGGCACGCGGTGCAGCTTGCACTCCTAGGGCACCTTCTGCCACCTCTCGGTGACCCACAGGGTCCCATCGGAAGCGGCGGCGCATGCAAGTTCAGCGCCAGGAAAGATCCCCGAAGATGACTGTGCGTTCAGCCTCATGTGCACCGAGGCCGTAGATGTACACGCGGGAATAAGAGGGGCCGATGAGGTGCTTGCCGTCCTTGGTCCACACCATGTCGGTTGCTGTGACGGGCATGCGCTGCTTGCACGCCAGCCCGTGCATGCCCCACACAAACGACTCAGCTACCAGCAGGCGGCCATCGGGACTGGGCTGGCGTATGAGTAGCCGCCCTGCTCAGAAGAAGCAGACGACAGCTGCAGCAGCTGAAGAGAGACGAGGGTAGGATGCGTGTCTGATTGTGCAGAAAATTCTGGGAAGACTGGTGCTGAAATGGATATGC